TACTTGGAATTAACAAACATTAATGCGAAAATGGGCGAAGGTACTGTTACAAAGTCCGTGGCTGCGCTATATTTTTAAGGTTGTGCAAACAACATAGAAACTTGAATAGTTGCTGATGCCCAAAATCTAGTTTTGGTCGCTTCCGCTAATTTGCGAAAGAACGCGATGGTCGCATATCTTATTGATATACAATGGATAATATAAAGTGATAGCTGTTCTAACATTGATTTAAATTATCCCCCATAAATTAAGGGATTAAGAAGCAGCGCTGTTGAGCACTGGCGTGTTTTTTAGCGCTCAAAAAGACTTCTAAGATCTAAGAAAATCACCACTTGTCCCTTTTGCGCGGGTGTTGTGCCCATAATACTATTCTAGCTGAATGAGGGCAAAGTTTTCCTTACCGCCCTCATAGAGTATCGTTTTTGGAAAAGTCTCAACAGGCATGACCGAAAATTGGCAATTTTTCTTCCTCCTGGATTTGGTTAACGTAACTTTGAGAACTCTTTTTTTCCTCTTTCTCTTCTTGCAATTCTAATATCTACCTGAGCAGAAGAAGCTTGCGGAGTCTGTCTATCAAACTGAACATAGCTGCAGCAAAGGGCACCTGAATGCAGCTTTGCAGAATATTTCAAGGATGCAAACCCTGACGACCCGCCTACGTGAATCGCTGCTTCAATATTTGGTTTCCTGATTTTTCTCGTCGCCCCCGCCTCTCGAAGTGAACGCATGTTTGATCAGGCGGTTGACAAACATGTCGCTTTGCTCTGAACCTCGTCACTAACGCCTACGAGCACAATAGTCTTTCGCAATTCACAGTGTTCAGCTGCCAGGTCGGAGGTAAGATCGGGTGCCATTGACGTTTTTCCGCTAACCTCTGCCTCCATGACTTTCTCCTCCCTCAGGTCGTGGACCCAGTCGGCGAGATTTCTCATCCGTACGCTTTGTGTCCTACTGCCATCTGCACTTTCTGTTGATCGCTGAGATTTTAGCCGACTATTCGAACCTTCTAGGCGAAAAATTACGTTACAAGTACGTCTGCAGAACAAATCTCTTTGGACACATTCTAATCCAAGTCGGCAAAGTCGTCCCCTGTGCCCCC